GTGCTAGTACTGGATCGCGGTACCACAATGGCACAACTAATTGGAAACACACACGTCCTCTATCAACATGATGTGGCTGAAACTCTCTATACATCAGCCCCTTGTTCATTAAAAACCTTGCCCAATTGTTATGACCTGTGATCAACCCCTCACTTGTACTCACTAACTTCTTAGCACGCTCTAATGTGAAATCAGACTGCTGTTCCTCTTGCACTACATCAACAGTAATAGGTTTCTTACTACCATTGGTATCAACCTTACTATGCTATTCCTTAAACTCAGGAACTATAAGCCTATGTAATGGCTTTTTCTCAGCTAATAACCTGTACATGCCCTACCTCATGCGCTAAACCTAGCTTCCACAAGAATCCCTAGCTCCACTAATATTACCGATAATAATATCTATTGAGGTCCTCATACATAGTGCCTCGACCTCACCAACATAAAAGGGTCTTCTACCAACTCTATATACTACAACTGAACTACACCCACTATCACGAAGGACCTCTATTTCAGTACAGCAAATAAAGCCTTGAACAACTAATATACTACTCACCATCCTATTAGCTTGTGAAACACTGGAAACACCAACAATTGGCTGCTCATGACCACATTTCAACTCAACTCTATCTCGTTCCTCTATATATGGATATCTACTTGCATCTGTAACTTCATGAACTACACATGTAACAATGATTTCCTGTGAATCATTACCATTCAGATCACGTGTCAACATCATACCTGGGAGTTTTATAACGCTTAGGACAGATGACAGTAGAATGACGTGGATCACCACAAACTGCTTGACTTTGGCTTAGACTTGCTAAATCAACCATGTCCTGTAACTTTCTGACCTGTGCTCCTAGAACTGACTTTTCTGACTACAACATTGAAACTGGCTATATTTCAGATTTCTACCACCCGTCTGTCTATGTGCATCTCTAAATATATCAGCTAATTCAGCCATTTCTTTAACTGACTTGGGTGACCTTTCACCTATGAAAATAGACAACTTGTTACAGAAATAACTCATCAATTTACCTTTAATCACTAAGTCATTAGCTCCCTCAAAACTCCATCTAATCAGTTTCGGACAGCTCTTCCCATCAGTCAAAATAACTACTTAATCTAGCTGCAAAATGTGAAATGCTCTCTCCACCTTCTGCCACTTTATGACAGTTACTACACGGCACATTTCTATTTGCAGGATTTGAGGTAATATGACAAAAACATAGAATGAAAGAAGCTGACAATCTAGTAGTAGTGTGATTCGAACACTTATCTGTGTTAAGCAATTTTTTTATTTCCTATGTTTTCCACGTCGTAATATGCGACCATTTCTTTGTTTTATTGTAACTTTGTGAGTGTTGAATGATGTGTCTTTCAACCAGACGGCCATGTTGCAATAGAGTGTGTGACCCTTGGCATGACCCCATTGACTGTATAATCACCATTAGCACGTGAATGTTATCCCACCTTATTGGTAATGTCTGAAGTACCTTTATTGTATTTTTTATATACAAATTCGTATATACCGAACAAACGGCCACGATTGAAGGGCATGAATTTTGTGACATCACCAATTCGTGCGTAGGCATGTCTTGTGTCTTTTTGATCATATAAATATAATTTGGTAATATTCTGATCTTTTTCTGTTTGTTCAATTTGACATTAATATTTTCGCTATTGCATTGTGAATCACCAAACATACACACGTCCTAGGTTAAGGTTTACATGTCTACCATGTTCATTCTCAGAAACGAAAACGTGAAGCCAGAACTCTATATCTCTTAGATATTTTTAAAGGAAAGACAGATGGCTACGATATGCTTTATAATGTTTTAAAGGCAACCGGGCACTCCAGCACAGTCCTGAAGATATTGAAACCAGGTGTAGAAACATCGGAAACGCCATGTAAGTCATTATGTGTGTGTGATTCGCGTTAAGGTAATATATGCAAAAATAAGGCGTGCGTAATGCACTGTGTCAAAATACGCATTGAGATTTGTTATTGTTTTACAGCACGTAATCGGCTACGTTTGTTATTTTTTACAGCATCTACCTCCCCAGCTAAGCCGCCTGATAAAGATCAAGGTATATAATTCCAATGTAATACCTATCAATGCAAAAATAAGTCGCGTGTACTGTGTGTTAAATAACATATGTTATGTTATTGTTTACAGTACCGAATTCTCCAGCTAAGCTGCCTGATAAAGATGAAGGTAATGGCCCCAACGTAATACTTATAATCGTTAATCTCTTTTTATTTGGGTGTAAATTGTAACAGGATGTACCGTTTTTACAAGCTTAATGTTGGTATAATTTCAGTATTTCTTTAAACAGGAATAACGAAAGCTTAGTTTGGCAACAAAATAATCATGTGATCCGCTAATAATATGAGGTTATTACGAGGATACCAAAAAGTATGCACGAAGACAGTAAAGCGGGAGAATCGACCGACGGCCTACTGTCTTAGTGCATATTTTGCGGCATCCTCATATTAACCTTATTATTATTATTATACACGTTTTCCTCCCCCTGCTACATCATTGGAATGCCGAAATTCAAACTTCTTTGTGAGGAGTCCGGTCAAACCCTGGTAGCAGCCATGTTTGTTTTTATTATTAGAGGACGCTTATCCATATTTGGAATTCGCATTTCCTAATGTGGTAGCATGAAAATCCCCCGTAAAATACCGCAAAATTACGCCACGCTTAAGGCGTTACGGTGACAGAAGTATAAAAATAAAATTTACGTGTATTATGTTTTAAGGTGGCATTCAATTTTAACGTAGTGATGCTGTAATTCATGTGAACTGTGAAAAATGAAAATGTTAAATGTTTATTATTATTTAATAAAAAACATCACAAGCGTGTGATAATACGCTGTCGGTATTCGCTGTCGGTATTCATGTAACAATACTATACGCTGTGTCGGTATTCGCTGTCGGTATTCAATACGCTGTCGGTATTCATGTAACAATACTATCACGAAAAAAGAACATTTCAATATTCATTATATCAATATTTATTATATCTCGAAAGTAGAACTATATATGGAATTCAAAATGGAAAATCTATCTATAAAATGTTCTGCAACATTAAATGATTAATTGTTGTTGTTGTTGTTTTTATGCATTTTTCCAGCATATCTCTTAGCACTAGAAAACATAACGAAGAGCGTTCAACAGACGTCCGCACAAATCACTGATTTTCGCGCCGACATACAGTCGCGCCAAGATGAAATGGCCTCACAGCTATCCTCAATTAAATCCGAGTTGTTAGACGAAATAACGGGTTTACGGAAAGCCATGGATCGCATCGGAAACTTGGAAAAGTGTAAGTATATAGCATATACAAAGATGTATTTACAGTTCCATTATTGCTAGAAAAAGCGAGGTCCACTCGGAACACTTGTTCATTCATTCATTCATTCATTCATTCATTGTGTTTAAAAGCTTTGTAGTCCTATAAATGTGACTGGAAAGTTGTATTAATGAACACAAATGTATTTAACCATTGTTTGGCTTTCTTAATTTAATTTTGAAAGACAATATTTTAACAAAGTCAACAATTCATAAAACCCAAAATGCACAAATGTTTTATGAATAATTATTTATTCAACCGCACGATTTTGTAAACTCGATTTAAACGTACCTTCCCAACGAAGCAGTGCGTGATCCTACCAAGAGTATTTTACCCCAAGAACTGCACATATACAGTTGGTATAACTATTTACCCCCGATCCTGTAACAGTGTGCATTTGACGCAGGCGCCGAACTTTATCTCGACGTCGTCTTCCTCAAGTATGGGTCGGTCTGTGCAAATTATTGAAATTATAGTGTTGACTCGTAAACTGTTATCAGTTTACAGTTTGTACCTCGAAAACTTATTACAAACTACATTCTTTTTGAATAAAAGAGGAACGAACAATGCATTTGTTATTGTAAAACTGGGAAGGCTTGCAATGTACACGCTGTATCGTCAACCACTTCTGATGTAATTATAACAAACAAAACAGTGCCCTTGGCGCACATGCATAACATGCGTTAATATATAATATATAGTCATGACGTACAAGCGCTTTGGCTGTTAGGGTCTGAGTTGTATTAATATATGCAACATGTAAGACAATAACACAATGTATCAGGGGTCTTCATCTGCGACTCGACAGACCTCGTTGCCCGTGGAAATAACGGTCACGTGTTCTTTCTTCCCAGCATTGAAGTTGGAAACAATGTCAAGAGAGGATCTGAAAAAAGTCGTACAGTCACTGTTACAGGAATTCACGACTTACAAAGAAGAATACAGAAAAACAGCTGAAAAAATCGACAAGTTAGAAAAACGAGGTAAAGATGCCTGTGACCTTCAATATATTCTAAACCGGTGTTGATAATCCATAGCTACATGGAAGCTTACTGCCGCATGTAAATACTGGCAAATAATATTTGAAAACTGCTTATTCGATATAACAAAATATTACTAATCAATGTGAACGTCCACGTTTTGTTTTTATTTATAAGCGTGTTTGTTGAGGATGGTAGCAAAAACAAGTAATTAAACACCGATTACATTTGAATTTAGGTTCCAACGACGACGAAATATTGAACAAGTTTATAGGTCAACTGAAAGATATTGGTTCACACGGTGATACGGAATTATGGCAAGAGATTGTCAAGTTGAAGCAAGGGATGACGTCACTGCGAAAATGGTCACAGGCAAACTGGGAGGAAATGCAAGCGCGATTAAATACCATTGAACAAAAACAAAAAGGTGAACTAACTGAATTACTAACTGTGAAACATATGACATTGACCGCAACGTCTAACTAATTAATGGAATTAATTGTTCAATTACTGTCTATATTAATATACGAATATTATAAAGACGTGCATGAAAGTATTATAACTGCGAATTTTGTTATGTGACAATATTTTCAAATCAATATTGTTATAATATATCTATACGTCATACTGTGTATTCAAACTATACTATAACTATAATATTGTTTGTGTTGTCTGTAGTGCGATTTCAGAGCCATCCAATTCAAGAAACAGATATTCAAGATAGTCGCGAAGGAAGTTCAAGTTAGGAAAAATTGTAGAGAGACTATGATGTTCAGCTAAACTGACAGAGTAGCGCCACCAACGTTGGAATCGCTGATTGAAATTATTGGGAGACACAATAGACAAGTGGCTGCTTAGATTGAAAAACTGAGATAATCAACTGACAACAAATGAATGGAATTTTTCAAAAATCGCATAACAAATGGCATTTTGAATATTTTTTAACACGACGTGTAAATTTCACCCACTGCATAGTATTGTACTATGATTAAACAGGTATTTTGTTTTTTATTTATGACACCTCGAATTCGACAACTATGAAAGGTCACCCTATGTCAACTAGCAATACAAAATTAATATGAGCTCAAACGGTTTGAAGCCCATTTACAGTAAATACATAATAAACAATCCAAATCGTATAACAAGGTACTAGGCACCGGATAAACTCAATATAGAACGATTTGCAAAGTATTAACATAATAGTTCAGTCATAATCATCTTATTTTAAATACTAACAATATTTAAAATTATGCTTTGTGTTGAAAACACAACATTGTGTAGGTTTTAACAAATACATATTTAATATTAGCATCCATGTACTTTATCCCAAACGCTTACACGTGGGAGAAAAGCAACTATATTCTGGATAGAATATGAAAAATGAAGAGAGTGCTTGATTAAACTTTATTAAAACTTGATAAATTTGCTGGAAGTGAAGTGGACTTCCTCCACACATTAGTGCATTCCTTCTTGGTGAATAAGAAAAAGCGCCATTAACCATAGTAAATAATATAAAAGAGAAATGCCCGGACGCTTTTTAGTCAAATAACTAATTTGAAGAAATAACATTTCTTTGCAATTGTGTTCGATGTAGCATCCAGTGTTATTGGCAACCAGAAATAGTAATGAGTGAAGTTTATACAAGTAAACATGAATTATTTAATATATATTGATTGTTTTTAGGGGTAGAGGGATTGTAGATGGTTGGTAAGGGAGTTAAGAAAGAATGGGTGGTAGTGAGAAGATCCATTGAACATAAAGTGCAAAGAATTCTCTCACTTTAATGGATGTAGATTCGTGGGCTTGGCTAAAATTTGTCAAAGTCAACACTGGGGAGGGAAACCACAGTCTACAGCGCGTATGTGACATAAACCGTTCAATGAATATTATTTTTAGGTGCAATTATCATTACAAAGTAGTTATCGCTACAGCACATATGTTCGGCCTCGATCTCCACCCTGTCTACTGTGGTTAGAAGATTGTACATGCTTTCTGCCATACTAAACTAGTCACCAGATTTAACAAGATTTCGAAACTATACAGCGCCACCAGTGGCTGTTCCCGCCTTTTTTGTCATTTTTTACAAAACTGCTGATTCTGTCTTAATACCGCACGATAAGTCTAACACTAAGAAGAAACATTTTTCTAGACCTACCAATTATAAGAATCCGTTTATAATTTATGGAAGGTTTCACAATCTACCCATGCTGCTGGATCATATGAATACAAATGCAGGGTTTGTAATCTTGTAGGTCTAAGAAATTAATGAACAATAGTAGTATTGTTTCTTTTCATCAGCAATAGGCATCTGTGTCTATTGTACGAATCATAACTTCTTGATAACTCTTGGCACCATAACCTGCAATATGAACTCTCATACACATGCGTGCTTCTTCATGTGAGCATAGTGATATACTATACACACGGAAAGCTAATCACGTTTTCAAAGTTTCAAATTTTTAGTACCTACAACCTGCTTTACCGAAGTTTGAATCATGTTGGTTTGATGTGGAACCAAACTGAAGAGTTGAGTCGTATCCTCCAGGGATAGTTTCGTATTGGGTGAATGATTATAAAATTGTAGTAAGATATTCACCCCACATTATATTGGGTCCAGTCTTTCAACTTGCTCTAGTCCCTAATTTGTATGCTGTATATGGTAGAAAAACGTACCGAGTGTACTCCAGTTCCTCGTGTTCCAGGTTTTAACATCTCCACCGTGCAGTGCTGCACCGTCCATGATTCATCTATGTGGTTTGGTTCATCTTCTGAACGTTATGCGTTTTCACTCTTTGTCCAAAACCAGTTTTCCTGTCACCAGACAAAGACGGGGACACTTTTCCTACATGATATTGACGACTAGCCTAGGTTGTTTTTTAAACTGCATTGTTAACTCGTGTATTCTTCACAAAGAACAGGTTATAAAGGAAGTTGTTTGTAGTTGAACCATACCGTTTATATGTACTGGTAATCTATTGACATAGTTTGTCAAGTTGTTCAAGGCAAACTATATAAGATATCATTGCAGCTAAAACTATACTATGTATCACATTTTTAGTTAGTAGTATTCATTTGTGTTGACTACCTTTTGATATTATTCCATGTATAATGAATCATGGCACTTTATATGGTACTTTGATTCAACCATATCACCAGCAAAAAGCTTGAAGTTTATTTTTTTTTCATCTGGAGAGCTGTAGCTCAAACATGCACATCTAAGCCAAAGGTACATGCCTCAACTAAACCATTTTAAGGGTGCGACATCCTGACAGAATTCCAATGTCCAACAACAGATCATACAACGTCATTCATTAGTGGCTGATGTTCTTTTTAAAGTAGATGGGTGTTATGAACTACTGTAACAATCACAAAATATATTAATCATCTGTTCTTATTTAATAACGATATTTGGCATTCTGTTAATCCATGGTGTGATTTTTATGCTCAGTATTTTAATAATTTGATGAATAACTTTATAATCAAATCAAAGTGTACACAAATGCCATATTGTTGAATCACAATATATCAACATGTGATCTCGGATGAATTTTGTGATATCTTATTGGTTTCTAATTCCAAGTACAAAATTATCCAACCACAATGCTGAATTGTACACAAGTTTCATACTCGTATCATAATGTAAATTCCGTTCAACTTTGCCCGAGACAGAACTTCAACGCCCAACCTCTAAACAGAATTGTGTGACCCAATTGGTTCACCTAAATTCCTATTAGCTGTCTTATTCTCAGAAAAATGAAGCTTAAATCATTCATGGTAATATATTCACAACTACTCGCAACTTAATACTGCATTTCTTATCTAGTCATTCAGGACAGACATGTCGAGTTAAAAGGAGTATAAACGGCCGAAGAATATAAAAATACATGTAAAATAAAAAATAACTAAAAAAAATAACAGTAACTATATAATTACTACATTCGTATTAAACATCCACAAACATGTTATTATTCATTGGTCACGTGGCCACATTCATTAAACAATAACTTGTATCTACATGAGAAATATTTAAACTGTTTGCGAGGGTAAGAGGGCGCTGTATAACTGTTGGAAATTAGTTATTATTAATTACTTGTCGAAGAGACACAATACACGGCACGAAAAACAACTCAGTTTTTAGTACGACAAATGCAACTGCAAAAGCGAAATAAGTAGCAAAGTACGGACGCTGAATTGATAGGATTACATGTAGAATGAGTACAAATGTCAAGGTAAACACATTGAAAATATAATTAGACTAGTCGCCACGTATATATGACATGGAAATTTACGATTATACCAGCATTTCCATTTGTTATAATGCCTGAATGAATTTAGTATATATTGTCTCCAAAACTACAATTTGTACCGCCCTCAATATTCTGCTTAATATTCCTGCATTAAAGCGACATTAGCATAACCGCGTTACACTTTATTACAAAGCCATGTAATACGGATCATGTTACAACGTGTCGTCGGCGGTTGTCTGCTAGTCCTTCCGTTTAAATCAGGTAAGTTTGTTTCTAAATTACATACGTAACCACAGTGTAACTGTAATGCTACCTATTTCTGACGAATATGGACAATGTATAACAAACATGATCAAAATTCCTTATTGCACAAACTTAGGAAATGTTTCTATGCTGTGTATGGAAATCCATGATATCGCATCGATGTACAATGACTTAAGTCGGTATTTTCAACAGTACACAGCAACTCTATTACATTGTCATTATGGAAACTCATTGTTGTAAACTCACTAAAGCTTGTGTGCTCTTTACACACCGAATGACAATGTTTCTGTCAATTCAAATCATTTATCCGTGACCCATTAACACTTACTACTCGTAATGAACTAAAACAAAACAGGGAAATATTTTTTTTTGTAATTTTAGTTGTGAACAATAATATCAGACAATGCGATGTCTTTTCATCTAGACCTGACCACGGTATGAATAGTAAGAACTTCCCTTAGCAACCAGCTCCACAAAGCAATACGAAAGCGAGCATTGTTTCGCTTACTAATACAAATTGCTGCACTGCTGAATTATTTGGAGCATTGCAAAACGTCTCATTCACAGGCTGGCTTATACATACCCATACCCATAGATAGGTTATACTGAAAGGTATAAACAACCAACATGTAGAAATATGTCGTGGTGCTCATACTTGTATTCCAAACTGCACATTCCAATATAGTTATGAAAACATATACAACTTAAAAATAACTAGGTATGATGTCACAAGCTATATATAGTATCAGCAATAAAAAGTCTAGACTGTCTAGTTGGTGGATGGGTGACGGGATATATAATCGCTGGGTTTTTTTTGCTCCAGGGCAATATACTACTTTAAAATGAAAACGTTGCGCTTTAGTTACCCATCGTTCAATGCGGCTTGACATTTTATGTAGCTCTCTACGATTACAAATCGTCACGAGCGTTTTGTGGTCAGTTTCCACAGTAAATTGGGGAGAACCATCAAGATACAGACGGTGATGCTCCAAACCCCAGGAAATCGCTAGGGCTTTCTTTTCGCATTGACTGTAGCGAGTTTCCGTTTTCGAGAGAGCTCGACTTGCGCAACTAATTAACACATCCCCTTGACACAAAATTGCGCCAATGCCGACGGGACTAGCATCGACACTAAGGGTAGTCATCTAATTATATCGAAATAATCCAAAACAATTTTTGAACAAATAACCCTTTTAATCCTGATATTCGCCCCAAACAAACTTAACACCCTTTTTGGTTAGAGACCTAATTAGTTCGGATAATGTACTAAAGTGAGGTACCATCAAAGCTGGGAGACCCAACATGCCTAAAAACGATCTCACTTCCGAAGCATTTTCTGGGCGTTTCATGTCACGAATGGATTGAATACGCGTTTCATCACAATGCATGCCATTTTTATCAAATACGAAGCCGAAAAAGACAATTTGTGGAACTGAAAATACACATTTGCTTAAACCCAATGTAAGTACTTTGTCAGAC